ACACATTGGGCTCCTAAGGGACTGCCTCTTGACGGCCCAGAAAGTCAATGAAGAAAATGTTTAAATATCCCAAGTGACTACGCGGGGCTCAACTATATGTTTATCAAGCGACGCCGAATACTTTTTGTGCGAAAAAACAAACAAAATAACGAGTTTATTCGACTATTCTTTTCTTCCTTGTAGGCCAGAACGAGACTTCCTTATAGATTTCCACGACGCATGCGCGAGAATTGCGATCTGAAGTAGTGTAAGCTGGTGTAAGCAGATCGCAAATCTCGCGCATGCGTCGTGGAAATCTAAGGAAGTCTCGTTCTGGCCTACAAGGAAGAAAAGAAATAGTCGAATAAACTCGTTATTTTTGTTTGTTTTTTCGCACAAAAAGTATTCGCGTCGCTTGATAAACATATAGTTGAGCCACGGTAGTCACTTGGGATATTTAAACATTTTCTTCATTGACTTTCTGGGCCGTCAAGAGGCAGTCCCTTAGGAGCCAATGTGGTAGTTATACAGCTCTCAAATTTAATCAAAAATATCTTCATTTGTGTTCCGAAGACGAACGAAGGTCTTACGGGGTTGGTACAGCATGGGGGTGAGTAATTAATGACTTAATTTTCATTTTTGGGTGAACTAACCCTTTAAAGTAAATGTGAAATGGTCTCTCTTGATTTAGTAAACTACCAATGGCCTAGAAGCCAACCTAAACATTTTAGCAACTGCATAGAAATACACTGGCAACCTCCCACTTCAATCTAGTACTTTAGCAAGTAGCAACAGAAAATATAAAAATCCAGTTAACATTTTAATCTCATCCATATTTCTTTGCTTATAAAGAATCTAACATAATCTAAGATTCTGAAACATGAGTTGTTTTTTTATTAAGTAATTTCAATTTAAAACTGTAGCACTATACAGCTGCCACTGGGAGGCCTTAGAGACCACAATTTTGCAAACAAGCTAATGTTTTCCTCAGAACTGCCATAAAAATATCATCTGCATGCTGTGCAAGACTGTGGTTGCTGTTTGACATTCTGGTAGAGGATCCTCAAAGTCATAACACTAGAAGCATCCGTTTCAAAATTCAATAGCAGCGGTCTGACAATGACCACATGCAATAATACGTGGCTGTGATGTATTATGGATAATGAACAAACCTTTGAGTGCTGGCTCACGGTTTTTCTGTATCCCTTTTCAGGTAACAGGCTCAATTATTGAAAACCATTGAAAAATACTTTGTTCCTCATTGTTTGTTACGTTTAGTTAATGAATAATTCAGCTCTATTCGAGCTGCCTGTCATGATGTACCCTCAGAGGGGATGATTAACATTCTCAAATGTCTGTGTGTGTGTGTCCATGTACATCTTTGTGTTGATGTACACTTAGTGCACATTTCCAATTTATTTCATCCAATATATTTAGCCTACCAAAATCATAGGATGCTACCCCAACTTTAACACACAAACCAGTTTCTTTATAAATTGACCTTATAAAATTCCCTATTGTATATCATATCCATGTATCAGTATGAATGCTCCATGCGGATTAATATTTAATCTGGAAATTGAGCAGTTTAGGAACTCATTGGACATTGTGGAAATTCTGGAGCCTGAGAGTCCCATCTGAGGAGGAGCAGACCAGAACATCTCTAGTCTCCAGAGACCTCTCTCAACTCCTGCTTGATCACTATATCTCCATTCTGCTAGGGACCTTGTGTATGAAGTGTGTCTGTTCTGCCCATTTGTCTCCATGGCACCAAATGTGCTATACCACCCCCAAGCCCCCCAACATTGTCATTCATAACTCACACAACTAGACACGAAAGCCCTGTTCTGTTCTCAAGAGGTTGTCGTGCAGCTTCCAACCTGTCTCAGTTGGACCCCTGTTAACCACAGCGACCCTTGTTTTCTGGCATGACCTCATGACAAGAAGGGCTAAACAGTTTGTTTGGTGTGCTTATTAAATGTGGGCTAGGAAAGGTGAAAAGATCTTGTGGAAATGCAGGATGCTTTTAAAGCAGATTAAGATAAGAGCCATTAGAACTTACGTCGCCAAGCTGTCTGTGTGAAGAAGATGCATCTAAGCTGGCGCCTGGCGAGGTGGGGTAGAAAGGAGGGGTTGGTGGATGTATCTATATAACATGCATCCTCTCAAAGTCAAAGTGCTCTGCAGGGGTTCTGAGCACAGGCTATGATCCCCCAAGGCCTCTCAGCACACTATCTGCAGTCTCTTAGGCATAGCTATGAATGCAGTCTCAACAGTATCAGTAGAGATATTATAGCACATGTGATCCAAGGTAATTACAGAAATACTTGCTTCATTTA